AAAATAAATTTTGTATAATTAGTAATAAAAATTTTTTTTCAAAAAATTTACCATGTTTTTAAACATAAAAATTGATTTTTCTCGAAAACGGTCAACTTTAGAGCTTATTACCAGGAGTACCTTTTTTGTGTAGAAAACATTGGCGGTTCGAATGGATCTCTCAAAACCGTACTTTTTTTAGGGGCGTTGAAGTTGAGGAGAAAAACACCCGCTACCCCTTCAAAATCTCCACCAATTATGAGTAAAAAAAAATTTTTCTGGCACAAAACATAGCTTATTATGAGTAGAAAATGCTTACAAAAGCTGTTTTTTGTACGACAAACGGTTCCAGAGATAATGGAAAAAAACGATTTTTTTTTCTAAAATTTCAACACCCTGTATCTCGAAAATTGTGCATTTTAGAGGGTAAGTTAATAGCGACTTTTTTCATCTTTTTGGATAAGCTATCACATCCTGAAGTCCTGCGCATATATTATGAAACACCCTGTATATATAGTAAATTTAAAAGTAAACTACGTCATCAATCAGCTGATCGGGCACGGTTGTCAATGTGATGCTAAAATCCTTGCATCAAGGGAAAGTGGTAGTGCAACTACAGGGCGATAGATGGCGTTTACATGAATAATACCAAAATGTCAAAAGTCTGAGTTTTTATAACCTATATGATGCACCGCCAAAAGTATGTTTTTAGCCATTTTTAAAGACATTTTCTGATATAAAACCCAAAAATTTTGCCATCTAAAGTCAGTCTCTGGTATATATATTATTATTTCATGTATCCAACATATATTTTGTTAAATATTCTAATATATAATTAATAATAATCCTATTTACCTCTCTAACAGCTGTTAAAGGTAACAAAGGTCCATTATTATCCCGTTCTGCCTCAAAATAGCGTATTAAGGATGACACCAACTCTTGACTCCGACTATTTAAATGCTTCGGCATTTTAAATATAGGAAACACAAAAAAACGATATATAACAAACACAAAAACGGCAATGAAAACTAAAACGATATAAAATAACACAAACAACAAACAAAATAAACGAAATAATACACGAATTAAACGAAATATTCAAAAACACAACTGACAGCTTCGAAATTCTAAAACGTCAAATTCTTTTTTATGTGTCATTTAAATATGAAAAATTTGAATGTAAACATGACAACATCACAATTGTTGCCAACTTAATTTGGTTAAAATGCATTCAAATATTCAATTACAGACTTCGATTTAGTCATTTAGTGTTGGTACCAATGCGTAAAATTTTTGTTTTATTGATGACGTGTACGTAGTTTACTTTTAAATTTACTATATATAACTATGCTGCGAAACTGATAATATATCAAAATGTTCAACAAATTTTATTTTGCGTGATAGTACTTAAATTGTTTTAATTTTTTGAAAGAACAATAATAAAGAAATATGACGATAATTAGACATTGATTTTGGATTTCCCTTTTTAAATAAACTTATAACTTTAGACAATTCTAATACAATTGGAAAGCAATATACGATCAAGTAAATTTGAAGTTTAATTGGGTTCTCGAGTTGCCTTATTAATTAATTGCGCGAATCTCATAAAAATAAAACATTATGTTAAGGGGTTGTCTAAGTTAAAAAATGTATATTAGAGTCTCCCAAAACTATTACATTTCCATATCTAGGTATGAGGCGCCGTTTGTGTCAAAATTAAAAGTGCTAAATAAACTTATTTTGTTTTAATAATTTTATAAAAAAAAAATATTTTATAAAAAAATTATTTTAAAAAAACATAATTTTATTAAAAACATTATTTTATAAAGAAATAATTTAAAAAAAAAATTATTTTATAAAAGACGACGAGCGCATTTAAAAATTAATTTTTACTGCAGCCATCTCTATTTGTTTGTAGACAGTCGAGTAAACCCGAGTGAACCCGAACGCCACTCTCCAGATACAATTTTATGACGGACTGGGCTTTTGTTTGACGCAATTTGGGGAAACGATTGAAAATAATAATTTATTATTTTTATTAATTAATTAATTAATTTTTTTATCTACATTTATTTTGATTTTTAGTTTTTAACAAGAATTCTTTATGTTTAAATGTTTTTACACCTTTAACTAATAATTAACTGTTAAAATCTATAAACAGCACTACGGTGTTCGTATTGTTCATCTTTTACGGGAGGAAGGAAGAAAGGCAATCTTTAAATTAGGCTTTAGGCGCCAACAAAATTCGCATGCGAGTCCCGGGGACTCAGGTGTCGAATTAAAGGTTAAGTTAATTTACTTTTAAAAATTCAGATATTTAAAATGTTACGTAATCACTTTTAACAGTTAATTATTAGTTAAAGGTGTAAATCATTATTTGTTTTGCATTTAACTAAAAAACGTTTGAACATAAAGAATTCTTGTTAAAAACTAAAAATCAAAATAAATGTATGAGTATGAGTATATGAGTATAAGAGACGTATAACCAGCCCCATTTCCTCTTGACTCTCGAACCCCGTACAGGCCTATGTTTACTTACGCCGATTTTTGTTCTTCCCCAGCAACTGCACGGCTTCACCCGTGTTTGCTGGGTGCGAATGTCCATTGCGTTCCGTACTGTCCCCTATTTGGGGCTCGAGAGCGAGAGGCGAATAGTTATAATAGCCATTCCCGGGTTCGCCGAGCCTATGCTATACGCTCAGTGGGGTATGGAGGAGGGACGGGAGGGTGTTGGTTTTTGGGGGACAATTACGCCGACTTAAAACTAAGTACGACGCGGAATCCCCCTAGACCAGTCGATTAGTATTACTCCAAACATTTGGGATTACTATTTGGAGTTGGGGAGTTGTTATTTCGCTGCAGGGGTGTAGTCTCCTAGTCGAGGTCTTTGTCTTGTTCGTTATTGTCATTGTCCGTGTCCTGGTCAGATAGTTCCTGCCCTTGGTAAAGTGTGTCAGTTGTTTTTAATTATTTTTGTCCCAAACACGTTTTGTGGTAGAGTTCCGTCTTTGTTTATCAAATTCCAAAGCATTGCATTTATTCACTAGTCAAACAAATCACAAGCGCGATTATTCTGTTGTCTAATGTTTACGAATCTCGAGTTTGGCTATTAGGCCCTTTTTTTTATGTGTTAGAATTATGTGATCAATGTTAGTTTACTCTGTCAGTCCAGTGTTTATTTTCGGTCTCGATTGGGACCGCCTTACGCATTTGCTGTTGACAGACTTATTGCCCCACGCCGCGTGCCCTTCATAGGTTTTAAAGATATCCCAATAAACACTTTAACGATACCTATCACCATTAACATTGCCCGTGTAAGAATTTTTAACACTTTTTAATACAATTTTGCAATGATAGTAATTAAAAACAAAACAATTGTTTAAAGAGTAAAATATGTTCTTAACATAATCATATTTTAAAGTTATTTTAACATTTCAAGTAAAATGAATGTTATGTTTGATAAAATGAATACGGGCAATGTTAATGGTGACAAATACTTTTTTTTCAAATTTAATTTAAAACTAGCTTAATACAAAATAAATAGCCGGCCCTGTGGTGCATCGCATTAAAATCTGAAACGGCCCCGGTATCAGGCGTGTAACGTATGCTTCAATAGATGGTTTATTTACGTTATGTTAATGCGTGGGCGCTTTGTTTATTTACCTTCCTTCAAGCTTTGCCTTGTGGCTGAGTTGCAAGTCGCTTATATTATACAATATATATAATACAATAATATAATATTGCGACTTTCCTGCTTGATGCCTTTTCGCACACGTACGCTGTTTTCGGCAATGGTTAATTGTTGCCAGTTTTTTTTTACAGATTTGCGTATTAGGTCATGCAATAATACTTATCAGAGTCGGCTGGTGATGGTGATGGTGATCCCTTTCGCTCTTTGTTAGACTTGTTTTTTTCTTTAAATAGGTGATTCCTTGACCTGTCCCCTGTCACTTTATTACTTCGTGTCCGCACGAACCTCACTCCTATGTTCACCGTTGAGAGATTGCCTTTTGAGGAATTATTTAATGTTTCTATTAACCCCTCGGAGAACAGGTACCCTGATTTCACCTGTACCGTTATGTATACATACTATAGTAACCCAAATAGTAGCACTGTTTCGCACCGTACTTTACTCGACTACACTGTGAAAAAAAAAATCAAAATAAATGTAGATAAAAAAATTAATTAACTAATTAATTAAAATAATAAATTATTATTTTCAATCGTTTCCCCAAATTGCGTCAAACAAAAGCCCAGTCCGTCATAAAATTGTATCTGGGGAGGGGCGTTCGGGTTCACTCGGGTTTACTCGAGTGTCTACAAACAAATAGAGATGGCTGCAGTAAAAATTAATTTATAAATGCGCCTGTCGTCTTTTATAAAATAATTTTTTTATAAAATAATTTTTTTATAAAATAATTTTTTTTATAAAATTATTTCTTTATAAAATAATTTTTTTATAAAATATTTTTTTTTATAAAATTATTTTTTTATAAAATAATTTTCTGCGAATAAAAAATAATAATAATTTTATAAAGCATATAATTAATTATTTATAAAACAAAATAAGTTTATTTAGCACTTTTAATTTTGACACAAACGGCGCCTCATATCTAGGTGTCATATCTGATAAAATAGTATTAAAATTGTCTTTGCTATTTAAAATATTTATTTTGGGAGGTGTGTAAAAAATTCCTATTGCCAGTTTTTGTTGCTTCAACTTAATTTCTATAAATTCTATATAAAATTCAAGACCATTGCAGGCTATTAAGAAAATATATAAATACCAATGAAATTGCTGGTCAAATTTTTAATTAGTATTTAGTAACTTCTTTTTAATTTAAATACTTTATATGACTAATATTAATTGCACAATAATTTATTTTAAGGATGCTTTTAATGTACTTAATAGATTTAATGTAATTATTGAACGGAATATTGCTGAGCAAGTAGACAATTTGCGATATACATGGACGCATCTTTTAACGAATGCTTTAAAAGTTCAAGTACATTTATTGAATATGCAGTCCAAATTTCAGGAGGATTTAAAATGCAATTTAAATAAATTTCGTCAGGATAAATTGGAGTATTGTAATGAATATAAATTTGCTGGTCCTATGCAGTCAGGACTTTCCCCGAGAGAAGCTTCTGACAGACTATTGCTATTTCAGGTAAAATAATCCAACTAAACTTTATATTAAACACCGTTATGGGGGTATAAATTAAATGGGTAAACTTAATTTTTTTATAAAATAAAAATGTGATATTAAATTATATAAAACTTCTATATTATTTTAAATCGTTTGCATAATTTTTTACTAAACTGCCCATAAATAAAATCTCCGAAATCATCTAATTACACTGTAGGTAAATTTTTAACTGTTGAAATATCACAGCTAAAAGCTCGGACACGTAAACATAATTTTTGGTTGTAGATTTTAAATCCGTGCTCGGTTTAGCTGTATCAGGTCTAAAAAAGTTTTTCCTATTGGAAATCCGATACGGGGACACACTGTATACTGGTATATTATTTTTTGTAAAATATTATATTTCACCTCTTGTGCCAATATTCCGATGCGTTTTATTTAATTTAATATAATATCCTTAATTATAATCAATAAAAAAAATCAGCAAAAAAACATTTTGAATTTCCCAAATTATCTAAGAAAAACCCTTAGGGACACGTTTTACTTTTGATAAATTAACTTCAAATTTTGCAAGAATTTGTTTTTTTTTTAATTTGGAAATAATGTGAGGGTCCAGACAAATTAAATTTGTTTTCAATATCTTTAAATATTGACCTGATACAGCTAAACCAAGCACAGGTTTGTAATCTACGACCAAAAACTAAGTTTACGTGTCCGAGCGTTTAGCTGTGATATTGTCACCTCCCTACAGTGTTATTTACTTTTATTTAAGTAATAATAATAAGTAAATTCGGGGTACTCTTTGCTATTTTTTACTTTTCATTTAATTCTCCTATTGTATTTTAAAAAGTACCAACTTGTTTTAAATCATTAATTTGTATTACAGAACAGATTTGATGGCATGTGGAGAAAATTACAAACTTACCAAAGTGGTGAAGAATTGTTTGGGTTACCTCAAACTGATTATCCAGATTTAGTACAAATTCGAAAAGAGTTAAATCTTTTGCAAAAACTTTATAAACTATATAACGATGTTATTGATAGAGTTAGTAGCTATTATGACATACCTTGGGGGGAGGTAAATATTGAAGAAATCAATAACGAATTATTAGAATTTCAAAACAGATGTAGAAAATTACCCAAAGGTTTAAAAGAATGGCCAGCCTTTTTTGCGCTTAAAAAAACTATTGATGACTTTAATGATATGTGTCCTTTACTAGAGCTTATGGCAAATAAGGCAATGAAACCAAGGCATTGGCAAAGGATAATGACTTCTTTAAACCACATATTTGATTTTGAAAGCGATGGGTTTTGTTTAAAAAATATTTTAGAAGCTCCACTTTTAGCTCATAAGGAAGATATTGAAGTAAGTATCAATATTTAATTTTTCATTTTATAGTTATACCTTTTTAGGACATTTGTATATCTGCAATGAAAGAAAAAGATATTGAAGCAAAGTTAAGACAAGTAACTAATGAATGGTCCGTTCACGAACTTACTTTTCAAAGTTTTAATAATAGGGGAGAGCTTTTACTTAGAGGTGATACTACAGCTGAAACAATAGGCCAATTAGAGGACAGTTTAATGATTTTAGGTTCTTTGTCATCAAATAGGTATGATAACATTTTATAGAAATTTGTATTGTATTTTTTCATCTACTATTATTTAATATTTAATACCGGGGTGGGTGTTTCAACGATTGGATAGTTTTTTATACTTTTAAAAAATTTCCAAGTGGGTCAGTGGCGGCTGGTCAGGTACGGCAGGTACCATCGAAAATCAGGAAGAAAGAGATTTTCCCTCGTTTGATCTCAGGGAGCCTCCCAAAGCAAACTTTGGGGCCGCCTCTAAGCTGGCCTACCCAGTTTTAAAAATCACCAGCCGCCTCTGTAAAGAGCAATTACCCTTCTATGTAGCTAGTCATGTCGTCCGAAGAGGAAGACGTGTTAAATTCGCGCTCCAATATAAGTGTTAATTGTGCATTAAAATCATGCAATACAAAAGTGACAAATGGCTATAAATGTTCTCTATGCCAATTGGCTTATCATTTTAACTGTTCAGTAAAAAATGGTGAGTCCCATAATGAGTTATTTCTTTGTAAATCATGTATTGCAAATGAAGTAGTTGCACGCAAAGTTTTGGAAGTTCTTCAAATTAATACAACCGTACAAAATGAAAACGCTATATATATTAAGTTAGTTAAGGAAATGGAAGAAAAAAACGAATTATTAAAAGATAAAATTAAAAATTTAAATACATGCAAAAATATTGTTCCTACACAATATTCACAAGTTGTAAAAAAATCAGTACAAAAAAGCGAGGTAGATCCCATCGCCTCGTCTTCAATGGAAGCAAAAAGTAGTGAAACACAAGTTAAACAATCTATTTTTAAACCTAAATTTATACGGGGAACCGCAAAACCAAATGAAGCTGAAAATTCTGAAAATACACTAACAGCGGTAAAAAGGCGCGCCTGGGTGTATGTCGGAAACATGGCAATAGGCACAACTGAAGAATCAATTAAAAATTATATACAAAATAAATTACCAAACAAAAATTTCGAAGTAAAGAGTCTATCTATCTACTATAAAAGATGCAAAATTTTGGCCGGAAGGAATATTAATAAAAAACTTTAATTTTAAAACATTTTTTCGTAACCAAAATCAACCAGCAAGTACTCAATAATAAAAATATATTTAATAATAACAAAAACATTAATGCAGATAATAAAAACCTTAATATAATCCATTTAAATATTTAAAGCCTAAATAATAAACTGGAAGAAGTGGAATTTTTTCTGGAAAATGAAAAACCAGACGTTGTATGTTTTTCGGAGCATTGGTTGTCAAAAGAGGCTATACCATATAAAAAAATTTATAATTACAACCTTATTTCTGCATTTTGTCGAACCACCTTTGATCATGGTGGAACCTGTATATATGCAAGGGATAATATTAAAATTAAAGAAATTCCAGTGCAATCAAAAGAAAAAATTTGTGAGTGCTGTGCTGTAAAGTGCTTAGAATACAATATGTTCATTGTTTGTGTGTATCGGTCACCTACAGCTAATTTTTCAGAGTTTTTCTTAAGTTTTGAGTATGTTCTTTTAAATTTAATCACTAAGAATAATGAATCAATCATTATTCTTGGAGATTTTAATATAAATTTCTTAAATAACGATTGCAGATTCACGCAAAACTTTTTAAATTTGACATTAAGTTTTAACTTTAGACCAACTATTAATGAGCCTACAAGAGTTACAAATATTTCAAAAACACAAATTGATAATATTTTTACAAACATTCATTTATCCAACTTTACCTCTTCAGTTATTAAGGCTAATCTTTCGGATCACTTTGCTATTAAGTTCTGCTTTAGATATATCGTTGAAAAAGAAAGAACATCTGTGCATTGTAGAAGAATATACTCAGAACAAAGTATTAATGATTTATTAAGCCAGTTGTCTATGCTTGATTGGAATGTTGTTTATAATTGTGTAGATCCTAATATTTCTTTTGAAGCTTTTCACCATGTTTTTAAAACCAAATTCGATGTTTTTTTCCCTAAAAGATGTTACAAAAATAATGTTTTTTTGGCAAAACTACCGTGGATTAGTAATAATATAAAACAAATTTCGCAATTAAAAAGAGAAATCTAATAAATTGTAGAAACAATATTACTTACCCTTTTTTTAAAAATACATATAAAAAAATATCTAAAACTTTAAATTTTGAATTAGAAAAGCCAAACTTCGTTATAATAATAAGCCACACTTCGTTATAATAATAAACTAATAAAAATAAATAGACAATGCTCCAAACAACCAGCAACAAATGTGGAGATTAATAAATAAAAATAAAACTTTAGTCTCTAAATCCAAAAATATTATTTTGGAAAAAGGAAATATTTTTATAGATAGTCCATTGAATGTAGCTAATGAGTTTAATGTATTTTTTGCTAATATATCTGATACACTAAATTTGCCATCACCAAAACTTAATGTCAACAACATTGAATCCATTAACTCCAATATGTTTTTATATCCCTCAGATGCCGTTGAAGTTTATGACATTATAAACAATCTAAAAAATAAAAAATCCACTGGTTGGGATGAAATTCCAACAAAAAATATTAAAAGGTGCGCATACGTCATAGCAAGTCCTCTTAGTCATATTATAAATCTTTGCTTTTTAAGTGGCGTTTTTCCGGATGTATTAAAGTTGGCTATTGTCAGGGTTTTGCATAAAAAGGGTCCTGAAACTAATGTTAATAACTATAGACCTATTTCCTTATTACCTATCTTTTCAAAAATACTGGAAATATCAATTTCTACCAGATTGATAAAATATTGTAATAAAAATTGTATAATTTCTAAACATCAATATGGTTTCGTTAAAGGTAGTAATACGGAATTAGCAATATTTAATTTTGTTGGTAGGATCATGGACCTTTGGAATAGTAAAACTCTGGCATTATCTTGCCTTATCTGGCCTTTTTTGACTTATCCAAAGCCTTTGACACCATGGATAAAGAACTATTGGAGTTGAAATTAGAAAGATAATATCTTTCTAATTTCAACTCCAATAGTTCTTTATCCATGGTGTCAAAGGCTTTGGATAAGTCAAAAAAGGCCAGATAAGGCAAGATAATGCCAGAGTTTTACTATTCCAAAGGTCCATGATCCTACCAACAAAATTAAATATTGCTAATTCCGTATTACTACCTTTAACGAAACCATATTGATGTTTAGAAATTATACAATTTTATATTATATATATTATGGCATAAGAGGTACTGCGCTAAATTTATTTAAATCCTATCTGTCCAACCGAAAACAAAGGGTAAAAATATCATCGGAAAATGGGTTGGAGTTATATTCCAACACAGTGGAGTTAAAAAAAGGAGTTCCTCAGGGCTCAATTCTTGGCCCAATTTTATTTATTTTGTTTGTAAATGATTTGCCCCAATGCCACGACAATATTTTTATGTATGCAGATGATACTACTTCAATTTTTAAATCCTCTACTAAAAATGATCTAATAACTAATATTAATTTAACACTTAAAAATATATTTCAATGGTTTCAAAATAATGGCCTTAAGTTAAATGTTGACAAAACACAGTACATAAAATTTGGAGAGTATGGGTTTACCAATAACAATATTAATATTAACAATAAATGTACCATCAAGTTGAGTACTTCAATTAAATTTTTGGGTGTTATTTTGGACAACAAATTTTTATGGAAGGAACAAACAGATAGTGTTTTAAAAAAAATCAATAAGTATCTATACTTAATCCTTAATCGAAGATTTGTTGTTTCAAGAGTGACACTCTTAAATGTGTATTATGCATTTGTTTATACCAATTTAAAATATGGCATAATTTTTTGGGGTAATTCATCCCATAGAAAAAATCTATTCATTTTTCAGAAAAAAATTATTAGAATTATTTTTAAGTTGGAATTTAATGAATCATGCAAGCAAACGTTTGTAAAAAATAACCTACTAACACTACCAGATCTTTATATTTTTGAAACTTTAATTTTTTACAAAAAAAACAGTTTTATGTTTAACAATACTAGTAGACAGCATTCCTACTTCACTAGAAATAAAGATTTAGTGTAAATTAATCAAACAAGGACCCACACCGTTTACAGGACTATTCAAAACTTTGCTTTAACTTTATATAATAAATTGCCAAAAACGATAAAATACCTTAGTTTTAGGGAATTTAAACCTTGTTTAAGAGCATACCTTGTAAACAGATGTGATTACTGCGTTGATGATTTTTTTAACTAAATGTTTTTCTTGTATTTGTTTATTTGTACCAAATTTTCTTAGATTTGTTTGTTAGTACATTGTTAATCTTGAATATTTATATATGCTTTTTTGGACGTGTTCAACATTGTAACCTTTGCAATCTTTCTGAACTAATAAATCTATTCTATTCTATTCTATTCTATGAGAAACCCCCTTAAGCTTATATATGAGTAGAGTAAAACACCCTATAAATAAATTAAAAGTCAGTACACATGAATATAACACTAGGACATAAATAAATAAAAAGACACAAAACAAAATACTAAAACATAAAAAAACAATAATACAATCCACTTCTAAAGAATATTATAGGATTAACTCTTTTTAAAAATATTCCTAGATTACTTATTATAAACCAAAATAAATAACTTAATCTAATTATGTTTTTTACACAATATTTAATTAATATTTTATATTTAGTGATTGTCCTTAACAATGTAATAACCAAATAGTTAATTTAATTTAATATTAATATAGTAATTTGATTTTTGGTATTTATAATATATTTTATTATTTTCAGATACAATGCACCTTTTAAGAAGCAAATTCAACAGTGGAGTTTTGATTTATCTAATACTAATGAAATTCTTGAAAGGTGGTTGTTGGTTCAAAATATGTGGGTTTATTTGGAAGCAGTTTTTGTTGGAGGAGATATTGCAAAACAATTACCGAAAGAAGCTAAAAGGTTTTCAAAAATTGATAAATCATGGCAAAAAATAATGCAACGAGCTCATGAGACACCAGGAGTTGTTAATTGTTGTGTTGGTGAGTAGTATGAATTTTAACTAGAAGTGAAATAAGTTATTAGTAATAATTACTTATTACTTATAATTACTATATAAATTTAAGAACTTCTTATAATAAAAACTCAATTAGATACTCACTTAATTTATCACATGTAAACACATGTTAAAAAAGTGTTATGTAATGAAAAAAGGAACTAACCCTAACAGTTATAGGGACTTTTTTCTGAATTCTAGATTTGGTTGGTAATACAAATATCATTTATTCGGGATATTACATTTGATGTTTTAGAATTTTATATATAATATTTTTAATCATTTTTACTTTAAATTTCTATATTTTGGCCGGGTTTTGAATTATAATTTTTATCAACATAATTTTCTGCATAGTATTCACGGTTTTTGAAAGGCCTGCATCAATTTTGTTTTTGATTTATTTACGTTGATTGTAGTAGCTCCAAAAGTAGTTTTTTCACTTTTTCTCACATATTTTTGAGAAAATCGAGCGAATGACTTGTTTTACCGAAAAAGTTCAAATGAAAAAGTTGTAGGAAATTTAATTTTTGACAAAAAAAGTTCTCACGTTCATTTCACTAAAGTGCTTTGTTTAAGAGATATAAGGTATAAATGTATGTATATTGTATTATACATAAATTTCAATAAAACCTATTTTTTCTTTGTTTTTGGTTATTGTCTAAGTACTTAGAATCAAATTTAAGGGCTAAAATTTTCAGGGAATTTATTTTTCAACCTAAAAAACAAAATTTTCATGTGTCAGCAAGAAAAAAGAATGTTTCGTTTTAAATGAAACACCCTAATATATATATATATATATATATATATATATATATAACATAATGCATTGGCAGCACCTCATTTATAATTTTGTCCAACACTTTTATATGTTTTGCCCAGTTGTAAAAAAGATAAAATCCAAATTATTCAAAAAAAGGACATGAGAATTATTTTAAAATGCATTATATAATATATACTATATACATATACACCTGTCAGAATTGGCGTTTGTGGTTATTTTACCTGAAAACTGACATTTTCGTCATATATTCTGAAAATTAAAGCGGGTATTTTGCAATTTTCGATCATAATACTAACTGAAGAAATTTTCAGTAAATAATATTGTATATTTACGAAATTTACATAATTATTTTATTCTATTCTATTACCATTTTTCATGATGGATTTTTATTTTAAAAAATAGAGCGAATGGGCTAGAAAATTTATAAAGATAATTATTTTTTTACTCTTACGGGTAAAATCGAAAACTTTCATTAAATTCATCTGGCAAAACCTCTATTTTTAGCAGCCCCAGCGTTATTCTAATTTATTTTTTACTTTAAGATAAGCCAATTTACTGCCAAAGCATAAACACAAGTAAAATAAACACACATTGTGCTGTCAAAATTGCATCATCAGGTTTTGCTTGTAAGATTGCACGTGTAGCTTCACGTTTCAGAATAGCTCTAACGCCATCAGTAGGTCCTTTTCCTTGCGCAGTAAAGTAAAAATGCCATTCAGCTATAACACCATGTGATGGATAAGATTGCACAAATGATATTTATTTTTATAGTGCTGTTTGGCACCATCGCTTATATATATATATATATAAAGGGTTTTCCATTTAAAGCGTCATAACTTTAACCCTAAAAATAAGGCTGCTCTGGAATGTAAATATCAAATCTTGACAACACATGTGTTCAGTACATTGTGTCAAATTAATATAGAAGGATAACAATTCAACAGCGCTTAGAAATAATTCGTATTTACCATCAAAATAGGTACATGTTCGGTTCGCCAAACATTTTGAGAGTTGCGAGAAATATAAGGTTTATCGTTTAGTTAATAAGTTAAAAAAAAAACTGGTGTACTGGCAAATAAGTCAACTTTTATGCATCTAAAGGGTCATGTGAAATCTCAGGTTTACAAAAATAAGCCACTAACAATTCTCGACCTTAAACGAAACATTAAACGCACAATTCAAAATATACCACGCGATATTTCTAAAAGAATAGTAGAAAATTGGGCCTTCAGAATGCATTCAGTCAGGCAAAGTCGAGGGGGACATTTAAACGATATTATTTTTAAAACATAAAGTCATCGATTGTTCTTCTAAATATAATAAAGATTAAAGGATTATAACATGTAGTTATTTTTTTATCTCATTTCAAAGTTCTGACGCTCTAAATGAAAAACCCTAAGATAAACAGAAAAACTTTCCTTTTCTATCATAACTAACATTAACGAACATAACAAGCTAGAAATAGCTTAGAAGAAAATTGAAACAATACTGATATTTCTAAATCAGAGTATCAGAGTATTTTGTATATTTAACTAAATTGACTGCATCAAACATTGTTTTTAAAGTTTTAATGTTGCGTGCAAATGCAACACTGTGTGTTCCGTTAGCTCCAGCAAGGATGCACCATTTCGGCCGAAGTTCAGTGAATTTTGATTTTATTAATTAAAAACTCTGGATAAACTTCTTTGAACTGTGTATGAAGATTTTTAACATCACGCAGCATTAAACTTTTTTTTTTTTCATTTTGGTTATTTACTTATACGTTCTTGTTCCGCATAATTCTACTATTTTCATCACTCTCATAAAAATTACGAACTTTATGAAGAATGTCAGATGATAACGTCTTACCAGTTCTTGCAACTGATGATGCTAGGATTCCTTTAGCTTCTTTTAGTTTTCTCGCTTTTTTGACAAAGTATTTTGTAGAATGGAACTCTCTTCCTGTTTGATCATTACTCAAGCATTTTGGAGCTATTGTAAGAATTGATATAGGGTATTATCATGAAACCTTACCCCACCTTGACAAAAAAAAACAGATGTATTATTTAACAATATAACAACTATATATGAAGTCAAATGAACTTCGAACCACTCAATGTGTCGCGACCAAAAAGTTCGTCCTTTTTCAAAACGACATAACTTTTTTGTTTCTTAAACGATTTTATTTTGATCTGTGATGTCTGCTAGCCCCATCCTCTGGCAATTCATGCTATAGATATGATGCACACGATTCTTTAAGTAAATTTCGTACTGGGTGATATGTAAAATGGTGAAAAATTTCAATAACTTCATCCAAGCCCCGTTTGAAAAAAGAAATTGTTTTTTATCTTTTTTACTTTGAAATAATGAAGTATTATGTCTTACCTTGAAAAGGTTTTTAAATTTTTTGAATTGGAATCTTAGCAACGAAAATATGATTTTTTGTTTCAAAAGAGTTTTTGGTAGGCAATATACTCAGTCATTTTTAAGAACAAGAAGATAAAATAGTGAAAGATTGTTCCTTGAATAATTTTGAACAAGCAACAAACTTCCTAAGCAAAGACCACTTTTTCAAAATAACATTTTGGTAAAACCGAACCTGAACCGATATTTACGTTCGTGACATGTTTTCTTTATAATTTTGACCTCCTGATTGTAATTTAATTGTCAAATTTAATTTTTAGGTAAAACCGAAATCACCAAGAATCAAAATTTGAAAACAATTCCCGGCTGTTGAAATGTCTTAATAAAATTCGATTGCTGGCGTCTTCAAAAAATGAATCCTCAAGTAGCATTTTAATTAATATGCATGCATATTAATTAAAATGCTACTTGAGGATTCATTTTTTGGGCGAAATTACTGCAATTTGTTTGCGCACTAGTAATAACTTTCACTGAAATTTTTTTGACAGTTTAAAGAGCCATTAAAATTATTTTATTTTTCGTCATATGACACAAATCACCCAATCATTTCAACATTTAACTGATAACAACACTCAGGGAAGTTTTCAACATAGATGACACCAAGACTGTCAACTTCATAAAATAAATTGCAATATGTCACGTTTCGGCAATTCGAATTTTAAAGCTATAAACGCTCTTATTATAGATAACAATCCGAAAAATACTACAAATAGTCATAAATATACGTGGGGGATATTCATGGAGTTTTGCTTTGAACGCAAATAGCAGTTAAACGAGAATAGAACCGAAGAAGAACTGGCATTAATATTGAAAGATTGGGCAGTCAATATGAGGAAGAAAGATGGGACTGAATTTAAAGAAGCCACTGTTAAGACCATGTGGAACGTTTCAAGCAAACTTTTGCAACAGAAATACTACAATGAATATAAGATAATGATTGACCCGTTTAACAGCATAGTATTTAAACCTGCAAGAGATGCCCGCGATGCAACAAGAAAGAAACTGCAAGCAGATCCATGTAAACGAAAGACCAGTTCAGTTTCATTAAGCTTTTCTGAAATAAACCAAATAATATTGTTCTGGGATGAAAATACCCCTGAAGGTCTTATGCGTAAATTCTATCACATTGCTGCTGTAGAATTAGCGTGGAGGGGAGGCGAGGAAGTTGCTTGTCTCTTGTCTTTTTTTCAAATCGAGAAAAATAACGATGGCTCTCCAACAAATCGCATTGAATATAATCCGGTGTTTAGTAAAACTTGCCAAGGCGGTTCAAAAAGCTGTACAAGTAGTAAATGGTTGATTGCCAATGGTGAAAGTCAAAGCTGCCCTTTTTCATAAACTGATATCAAAACGAGGCGAACATATTACCTCACCACGGTTGTTCTTAAAACCAAATCGACACTGGAAAACGGAAACCGATAATTGGTACGACAATGTCCCTTTTGGAAAAAATACTATCAATGGATGGACAAAATCGTCTGCAGAGGCTATTGGTCTAAATGTAAAAGAAAGAAAAATAACAAACCATTCGAACAGGTCAACTGCTGCTAGCGAATTGGCAAAAAATGGTGTGCAAGAACAACAATTGCTGAAAATTACTGGCCATAGCAATCTAAATTCTATAAAACCATACCTAAACATTGACCAAGAACACCACAATAAGATTATAAATACTATGCGTGGTAATAGATCTTCTATTGTAGAAAAAAATAGCCAATCTAATGTTGCGTTAAATTTTAATAACTGTACCTTTACCAGCTGTACTTTTAATAAATAAATAATTGTTGTGTTGCGAGTTATTTGATTTTTT